AAAATTATTTAAAAAAAAAACTAAAATTTCCCTTTTCTTCACAGAAGGAGCCTTTTGATTTTAGAAAGGACAAGATGAGAACCACAAACTCCAGGCTTATCCATTACCCCAGAAACTCCTCCCAAGCCAGTTTCAGAATGTGTGCATTTTTAAACATACGATGTGTATATATGCAAACACACATTGTGTATAAAATACTTCCATGTGTATTACCTCAGTCTCATAATCACTTAATCACTTAATCACTTAATCACTTAACTTCCCGTTAGTCGTAGATTTGCTCGAGCGGGTGCCAGTAACGTCTCCATTTGTCCCTGTCACGTGCTAGTGTAGCCCAATGGCATCTGTTCGCTCTGGGAACAAGAAGAGCCTCAAACCGATCGTTCATGATCTTGATGAAGAAGTCTGACCATCTGGTAGATAAGCTCCAAGATAAGCAGAACTCTCTGAGACCTTGGACTCCAGGCTCCAGCGGACCCAGGGACAGAGATCCTCTGCTTGCTCCCACCAACCACAGGTGACAAAGAGATTCTAATCAGGAGCCCCACCCTACCCTGCCCTGTCTGCTTCCACCAACCACCCAGGGATCGGATTGCACACAGAAGACCCACCCTACCCCTACCGGAACCAGATAAATACCCCACTGGCAGACACTACCGACACTACCTCCACTACCCAGCCGCCACCACACTCCAGGACGCTTTCCGGACCCGCACGGCCACGAAGCGGCCAAGCAACACATCATAAGACACTAAATACCCATTTTCCAGAATTGTCGTACCATATTTGATAGGGTTCAAATATGGTAACACTTACGAAGGCGATTAGGGTCGCCCCAAAAGTCTCTATCCCTCTCGGAAAGACTGGCAAGCTACCGAGAGTATTCCGCCCGCACGGAAGAGCCTGGCAAGCTATCCGTTGTGTATTCAATATGCCAAAACAAGTAACTACAACTGGTCTCATTCACCTGACCCTGAAGGCTTCACCGACATGGCAGCACTGAGAAGGATGAGAAAGGAGAGGCCGATAAAATCTCAAGGCTGAACTAGGCTGCCACAATGAAGGAAGACAAAAATGATCGTCTGTACTTTCAATGCACGTACGCTAGCATCAGATGCATCCATCGAGGACCTGATGGTACAAGCACAAATGATCAAGTACGACATCATTGGTCTGACCGAGACAAGAAGGTACGAATCTCACCAGTCTCATAATAACTGGTCATAATTTGTAGGATAACACTGTTTTGTCCTTCCTCAGGTAGCTTACATTTATCGGGTCACACCCATCCCAGGGCACTGAACTTGTATTATAAGTTAATATTGCCTTTCTCCTCTCCTTATGTCTTTTGAATAGTTTACCTTAAAGCAATGTCCTTTCTGTATGGACACAGGAAGACAGTTAATAGTATGCTTTGTAACTTGGGAGTTTATTGACTCCAAATAATATTTACTCCTGGGCATCTGCTTTCTTGACTCAGTTGCCCTTAGTTCCTACCACCCCAAAAGCAGGGTTCCGACGAGGGACTGAATAGGCAAGCTATGAGCTACCCTGGCATCGAAATGGGCCAGGCCAAAGTGCCATGATACTCAATTATAAGTTGAGGGCATTATCATGGACAAATGCTGTCATGATCCAAAGTAAGTAATGACGAGACTAGGACCCTGTTGGGACTAGGAAGACTAACCTGGCCTGAGGACTGTGGAATGTATAGTGAGATGTTCTCAGGAAGAACCAAACTGTAAATTTATATCTCTTACTGTGCTCATACAGAATGACATTGCTAGAAATATTAGAAGTAGATTTACTACAACTATTTAAGTAGATTACTAGCTGAGGAAAGAACACACCCTCGTTGGGATCCCACCCTTGAGCGGATCTCCTAGTAATCTGGAGTAATCTCTAGATGAGATTTTATCCTCGAGTTAATCTCCTGGAGGAGTAGTCTTACCTATCTTTGTTGATTTGTTAATATTCAACCCACCTTTGTGTCACTGCCTTACGTGATTGCTATATAAACTAAGACTGTAAGTTTGGAGACGAGAGTCAGAAGTGAAAGAGCTCGGGCTCCAGAGATCCAGAGTGAAGAGCCAGGAGAAGGGGTACCAGATTGGGCCCCAGGAGAAAAGGAGGCAGAGGAGAGACAGGAGTGAAGAGGACTGGAATAAACTACAATTGGTATCGACCAGCCTGGTCCTCGTTTCTTTCTTCATCTGCCCTTGGCCAACAGCCGTCCTAATCCAGGCCACACACGGCGGCTCAAGAGCACTGAACGCGGGCAGTGAGACAGTGCCGTCCAGTGAGCCTGCGAACCTTCGGCATGCTAAGATTTTACAATAATTCTTACCCTTATTTTACAAATAAGCAATCTGAAATTTCATTCTCTTTCATTCTCCTGCTCTGCACTCAAACTACCCAAGATGCTGATAGCTTCTCCCACCTCTTCAAATGCCTGGGCATCCCACTTTCCTTTCAATTTGCATATTCAGCACCACTTCCTCAGGACACTTTCCTTGGCCACCTCCTCCAGCCCAGTCTGGTAGACCATTTTCCTAACACCTTAGAGCGGGGGGAGGGGGGATTTTTGCTTGTTTGTTTTGCTTTTGGATCACACCTGGAGATGCACAGGTGTAACAGGCTCTGCACTCAGGAATTACTCCTGGCGGTGCTCAGGGGACCATATGAGATGCTGGGACTTGAACCTGGGTTGGCCACATGCAAAGCAAACCCCCTACCTGCTGTGCTATTGCTCCAGCCCCAAGAGTGGGGGTTTTTAACCTTGTTTACAAATATGGCCCTGGAGCAGTCCCTGGATTAGCAGCTGAAAACCACTTTCTTGTGATTTTTTTCACAACCCTTATTTAACCACAGGAGCTAATATTCAACGGCTGTATTCACTCCATCCATAAGACAATCAGCAAGCAAGGAATGACCTCCAGTGTCAGAAACTGCTGTAGCCCAGAGTCTCTCTGAGCCTGAATAAGGAAGATGCTAAATGTATCTAACAAATCTATGAGCGAAAGCCCACAAAGATTAAGTGCTTGTCTAATAACACTATGTTAGCATTCAAATAGGGCTGGAGCAATAGCACAGTGGGAAGGGCGTTTGCCTTGCACACAGCCAACATAGCTGACCCAAGTTCGATTCCTCCGCCCCTCTCGGAGAGCCCGGCAAGCTACCTAGAGTATCTCGCCCGCATGGCAAAGCCTGGCAAGCTACCCGTGATATATTCAATAAGTCAAAGACAGTAACAACAGGTAAAAGGTAAAGGCCCTCCCGTTGATCGTCGATTTGCTCGAGCGGGCCCAGTAACGTCTCCATTGGAGACTTTGTTGTTACTGTGTCTGGCATATCGAATACTCTCGGTAGCTTGCCGGGCTCTCCGAGAGGGGCGGAGGAGTCGAACTCGGGTCAGCCATGTTGGCCGCTTGTAAGGCGAACGCCCTACCGCTGTGCTATCACTCCAGCATATTACTGATGCCCGCTGGAACAAATCGAGCAAATCAGCATCCAAATTGAATTCTTGGCCTCCAGAAAGCAGGTCCTGGACCCTACGCCCTAATACATCTCTCATTATCTTTCAGCTTACTGGATTTTCACTTTGAGATAAAAGGGCATGTCCTTCAGGAACTTCAGTGCCATGTTAAGGTATTGATATGAATAGAACCACATCCCTGGCACAGTCAAAAGAGGGCTGATGCACTCCACAAAATGGGAAAAGAGCTTTTGCTTTTTGCGTCACACCCAGTGATGCTCAGGGGTTACTCCTGGCTTTGCACTCAGGAATCACTCCTGGCAGTGCTCTGGGGACCATATGGGATGCTGGGAATTGAACCTGGGTCAGTCATGTGCAAGGCAAACGCCCTACCCGCTGTGCTATTGCTCCAGCCCCGGGAAAAGAGCTTTTCATCTAAGAACTAGGAGATCTGGACTTCCTCCTGCCAACCCTCCTCTTTGGATATCCAGCCACCCTGTATTCAAAAAACTATTCATGGCAGCTGGTTGAGAAAGCTTCCTCAACCACCCTGGCTGAGAAAGTCATTTCTCCAACCTTGCTTTTGTTCCATCAACTACTAAATGGACAATCAAACTAGGTTTTCATTCTTTTCCAGCTATAAAGTTCTGTCAGATTCTGGGAAGAGTGTGGCCAAAGGGGAAAAGTGCCAAACATCGGAAAAAAGAAAAAACAGTAAAAATAAAAATCCAGAAGTCCTGGTTCCAAAGCGTCCTAGATAATGTGACTTTACACAGGCCAAAAACTCTCGGGACCGCGATCTCAACTGTAAAATGTGCGCGCCAGTACCAGAGTGTTCAGGATTACGGGATAACAGCACTGAGATCAGGAATGCAGAACTTCGCAGAGAAGCTACTGAACAGCAACTGTCTTGCCTCCGCACCGAACAGCGATGAACAGCCGAGAGTTAAGACTGGGCAAGCTCAGTGACTAGTCTTGGATAAGCAGCAAGCGGCTCTGACAATGCGCTTTCCTCTCGTCTCGGGAGAGGAGCACCTACCCCCCAGTGACCTGCTCTGAACCGCGACTGCGCTAATTTGCTCGGGGTTCCTCCCGGCTCTGCAGTCGGGAACCACTCGCGGCGGTGCTCGGGCGACCAGGTGGGATGCTGGAGACGGAGCCTGGGTCGGCCACGCGCCAGGCCCACGCCCTCCCCGCTAGGCCGTGGCTGCCGCCCCCCTGGGGGCCGGCCAGGACCCAGCAAACCCGACCCCGAGGGTCCCCGCGGCAGCGCCGGGCCCCGCCCCCACCCGCAAGGCCCCGCCCCGCCTTAAAGGTCAAGCCGGCCTCGCAAGGAGCGCGTGCAGGCCTGGGGGTCGCGGTTCTCTCAGGCGCCCCCGAGGTCCGAGTCGAGCTCCCAGGCACCCGTCCCCGCGTGCGCCTCGTGCCCACGCCGACTCACCCACTGCCGCCCAGGACACTAGGGGAAGGCTCAGGCGCCCGCGGCGGCGGCGCAGGCGCGTGACGTCACGGGGCGGCGCCGCGGCGCAGGCGTAGTGCGTCACGGGCGGCCAGGCAGCCGGCGGCGTACGGGAGGACGCGTCTGAGGGCCGTGGGGGCGCCGGATCGGGACGTGCTTTGGGGGGCATGAGCCGAGGGGACGACGCCGAGGCCACGAGGTGAGTCCGGTCGCGACGCGGGCCCCACAGCTGGACGCGGTCCCCGCGAGCGGCGCCCCGAGAAAGGCTGCCCGAGCCGAGCCGAGCCGAGCGGGCAGCCCAGGCCCCGCCCCGGATCGTCCCGCCGCCGGCCCGGAAACAACAAGCCGGGGGATGCCCGGGGACCGGGAAGCGGGCCGGGCCGGGCCGAACCCGCGGGGGCCGGGGCCGCTCCGCATCACACGCGCGCGCGCACACACACACACACACACACACACACACACACACAGACACCTACGCGCGCACACGAACGCGCGCGCGCACAGACGCGCGCACACACAAACACACAGACGCATACACGCGCGCACACACAACGCACGCACATGAATGCACAGACACGCACGCACACTGACACGCACACACTCGCGTGCACACACACACAGACGCACACGCGTTCACACACGCACGCACACACACGACTACCACCGGCGTTCTGGGCGGCCGGGGCTCAGCCCAGAGAGCAGTGGAGACGCATATTTTATGGCCAATCCAATCAGAGGGGTTGTCTCCATTGCTGCGCCCAAAGGCTGTTGTTTTGGTTTTTTTTTGTTTTGGTAGTCGCATGCCATCTTGGTTTCTCATTCCACCCTCCGCCCTGTCACCACCATGCTGCCTGCATCGAGCTGGCACAGATGTCAGATTGCAGCCCCACACCCAGCCAAGAACTAGGAATCCTTGGGCGATTCCAGGGAAGAAAAGGAAACCCATCCAGGGACAGGAGTGGGGGGGGGGGGGGTCGTGTCACGAACATGGAGGGTCTATGGAGCAGCAGCCTGGAGCAGAGCAGTGCCCTGAGCATGATGATCGAGCCCTGGGCAAAAGCCCTGCTCTCTAGTACTTAGATTCTGGCCAGGGGAACCCAAGGTAGAAGGGACAGGAACTCACCAGATTGCCGGTAAATGGGCCTCGAAATGAAAGTGGCCACAGTGCAAAGGAACTTGCAGAGTGATGACTTACAAATGTCAGGCAGTAAGGAGTTCTAAAAGCCAGGATTTGGGGTCCATGTCCTGAATGCTTTTTTCTTTTTGGGTCACACCCGGCAATGCACAGGGCTTACTCCTGTCTCTTCACTCAGGAATTACTCCTGGCGGTGCTCGGGGGACCATTTGGAATGCTGGGAATCAAACCCGGGTCAGCCACATGCAAGGCAAATGCCCTACTCACTGCGCTATCGCTCCAGCCACATGTCATGAATGCTTCTTACTGAAAATGCTTCCCCTGTTGTGAGATTAAGTGCCTGTTGGTGTCGGTGCTATATTTAGATGTGGAAAAAATCAGGCCCGATCCTTCCAGACCTATGTCAAGTGGCATCTTCCGAGCTCTTCTCTCCAGTAATTTTTTTCCCTTTAATGTGATCTTTTTGGGGGGTGAAGACCTGTCAGTGTTTAGGGGCTGTGCCAGCTCTTTGCCACCTGGGTAGCTGCTGCAGTGAATCTGAGGGAATGACAGCTTTCAGTGTATGACAGCTGTATGATACTGCAGGACCTTGCAGTGACAGGGGTCAGCTACATGCAGGGCAAGTGCCTTAACCCCTGGGCTACTCTGGCCCTGCTCTCCAGTAACTGTGAAGTTGTCCAGTTGAGTCTCCCTGTCAGGTCACTTTGCTCAGCCATGTGTGCAAGCATTTATTGCTAATGACGGCTTGCTTATTTTGCTTTTGTCTGCCTTCTCTTCCAACTATAAACGGACTGAGGTCTGAGATCTTGCGTGTCCGCTGCTCTGTCACCAGTGCCGAAAACACAGAAATGCAGTTAAACTTTATAGGGGTGATCTGTAGGAAAAGAGGAGGCAAAGAAAGCAAGGAAATGACAGAACGTTCCTTCTCCCTTTTCCATTCCTGGAATTCCGTGTCTGTTTCATCTTTCAGGAGTGAGGAGTAACAGACATAGTCCATTCACTTCTCTTGTTCTCAGCACACAGCCCAGGATCTAGTAGTTATTAGTAGATGCTTGCTGGTCATTCATTCATTCCTCGATAGACTGTGTGAATGGGAAAGGAAGAATAATGCTCTTGGGGGCAGGGGGAAGCGGGCTGTGGTCCTGCAGTCAGCAGTTACCTGGGGGCTAGCGTGTCCTCACCTTTCTATGCTGTCTGCTGGTGTGGGTACAAGGGCATGGCACGGTAGCACTCAGTATATGGCAGCTGTGGTCATTCAGACCCAGCTCCTGCAGCTCTGGCCCCTGAGGCATCCCTGGTTATAAAGGACACATGTTTTCTCGGCAGGGAAGTCTGAAGTCTGGCACAGACAGCATCTTCCTAGGTTTTTTTTTTTTTGTTTTTTTTAATCCTTTCGGGGCTGGAGCGATAGCACAGCTGATAGGGTGTTTGCCTTGCATGCTGCAGACCCAGGTTTGATCCCCAGCATCCTTTATGGTTCCCTGAACACCGCCAGGAGTGATTGCTGAGTGTTAAGCCAAGAGTAACTCCTGTGCATCTCTGGGTGTGACCCAAAAAAAAAATCCTTTCTTGCTCTACTGCATTGTTTGTTTTCTATCTTTCAGCCTTTTGTTTATTGTGGGGTGGGAGGCAGGGGGCCAGAACCTGCAGTGCTCAGGATTTGCTTCTGGTTCTTCTCTTAGAGATCACTCCTGGCAGTGCCTGGGGACCATATGTGATGTCTGGGCTTGAACCGGGTCGGCTGTGTACAGGATAAATGCCCTGCCCGCTGTATGGTCTCTCCAGCCTTTGTCGCATTTTTCAGTTCTTGCAACAAGCTTAAGTAATCAGGTCTAATATGTATGCAAGATTTATCCTGTAGAGATGAGGCAACGGGAGCTTAGAGAAATGCTTAGTGGAAATGCTAAAATGAAAAGTTGGGGTTTTGACACAAATTTTTTTTCATGACTATTTTCATTGTGCTGCTCATACATTTTGGCTGTGAGAGAAGCTAACCTTAGTTGGAAACTCTGTAGGTGCCACACTGTATCTTTAATGCTTGAAGATGTTTTGTTTCATTGAATGTGCACAGCCCTAGGGAATACTTACCCAGGGTACAGGTAAGGCCACAAAGACCAGAGTGGTTAAGTCACTTCCCCAAGCCTCCAAAGAGGTGGAACTGGGATAACCAGGGAGGAAGTAAGTTTTCCCAGACTCTCCCAGATTAGTACTAATGGTAATGGAAAGGGCTAACATCTATTGAAGACTAATGCCGGTTGCCATGTGTCGAGAAGTTTTTATCTTTAATCTTCACAATAGCCCTCCAAGACCTGATCTCTGCACTTCACATAGAAGAAGAAACTAAAGCCTACAAAAGCCCAGAGCTCGTCAGGCCCCACAGCCTGCTCTGCAGCCCAGTTCTAACTCCAGAGTGTCTAACCGTAGTCTTTGCCCATGAGAAGAGATTAGAGAAAAGATCAGTAAGAGGCACTGGTGGCATCCACGGTGGCTTGGGACACCGAACTGGAATCCGTAGTTGAACTGGGTTCTCATGCAATAGTGGGACCTTTGCCCCCTGACCAGTCGGCCCCTGGCTTCAGAATTCAGAAGGTGGAAAGCTTGAGTTTCTGCCGGCAGAAGCCCCACCCCTTTCATGAATTCATCAGTGCCCTAGGAGCTGTCCCTGGGAGCGGGTGCAGGGCCTGGGGTTGGGGGATGGCCCAGGCCTTCCAGGGACCGTCCAGGCCGGGCCCTCCTCGACTCAGCGTTTGCCAAATCTGAAGCCTCGTGTTCGTAGTTCCTTCAGTAGCATGTTGTCCTGTCTCCTGCCTTAACGTCCACGTTTTCTTTAGTATTTCATAGAGATTGATGGAAACAGAAACCAAAACTCTTCCCCTGGAGAATGCATCCATCCTTTCAGAGGGCTCCCTCCAGGAGGGGCACCGCTTATGGATTGGCAACCTGGACCCCAAAATCACAGAGTAAGTCTCAGTCAGCTTGAAGAATGGTCTACAAAATGGCGGGGGGCCGGGAGCGGGGCTGGGGGCTGGGGTTGTAGTAATAACTGATGTTTAAAGGGATCTTGGATGTGGGGCATTTGTGTTTACCTTTAATTGTGTTTTAATTCTCTTCGGAGGGGATGTCATGTTGTCTGTTGCCATTGTTGTTACATTTGAGCGCTGCCCGCTCACAGACTTTGCTTGCCTTTACACCCTTGTTTCTTCACTGTGGATAACAATCCCGTGTAGCTGAACACTGTGGGGAGGGGACTCAAAAAAAATGTGTTGACGATAAAGGGTGTCTGAATACACAAGCAAAAGAAATTGTCAGAATCGTCTGCTTCATGACTGGGTGTTTGTGGAAGCGTATATACCTGTGTTGTGTTTCTTAGGTGAAAGTAGTCACCAGTGAAAAAAGTTTTAAGAAACCCTATTTTCGGGTCTGGAGCAATAGAACAATGGGTAGGGTCTTTGCCTCGCACGTAACCCACCTAGGTTGGATCCTGGGCATCCCTGAGCACTGCCAGGAGTGATTTCTTAGTGCAGGGCCAGGAGTGACCCCTGAACATTGCTAGGCGTGACCTTTAAAAAAAACTTTAAAAAGTCTGACCCAAGGTCACCAAAGCCTGCCCCTTTGGGCCGTATCACTTGATGGACAAATGTGGGTGCAGAATGGTCCAGCCTGGAGACTGGAGATAGCGGGTCGGGCACTTGCCTTGCATGCAGCAGACGTGGGTCCGATCCCTAGCATCCCATATGGTCCCCTGAACACCTCTAGGAATAATTCCTGAGCACAGAGCCAGGAGTAAGCCCTGAACATCGCCAGGTGTGCAAACAACAACAACAAAAAAGTCCTATTTTGTACTCCATACTCTATTGTCTTTTCCTTCTTGCTAAGGATGGTGTTACTATTTTCAATTATTTGACTTCTTAGTTTATTAGGCAGTTATTTTCTAGAATCAGCCTCCGGCATACTTTTATAATTCAAAATGAAGAATCCAGACGTTGTGGTACTGCCACAGAGCAGCACCATTGGACCAGAGCCCACATGAGACCACTGTGGTCACAGCGAAACAGCGTTGGACCACAGCCCTGAGAAGAGACCTGGAAGGGGTCTCAGGTGCTCCCCAAGCCCCTCTAGTTTTCATTCAGGGGCCTCCTGGGTGCTAAGCAGCACGCAAACTTTTTTCACTCTCGGGAGCCTCATCTTAAAGTAACCAACACTCAGTGAGCAAAAATAACAATTCAGAGATGGTCTGACGAGATCGGGGAGGAGGCACAGCCACCACCTTCTGGCCGGGGCCACCCTGTGCCTGGCGATGTTTCAGCAGACCCTTGCAGCACACTTGCAATGTCTAACGTGGTCCAGCTCCCTTCCCCCGTAGCGGAGGAGAGGGGCCCTAAGAGATGGAGACGCCAAGGACCCGGGGTCACAAGGCTGGTTGAATTGTTGACTCCCCACCTCTTGCTCTCGTGGCTGTTAGACTGGAAAGGAAGTTCCTGGAGAGGGAATTGAGTTTTGGATGGTTTTCGGTTCTGTTCCCCCAGGTCCTCTGTAAGGGAGAGGGTAATCATGAGCGGGTTGAGCTGTCAGGATTTGGAGTGATAGCCTCTGCAGTAATGATCAAGTTCCTCCCTCTGGAATAGTCTCAGAGCAAGAATAGAGGAGACCGGAGTTCCCCTGCCGTGTAAGTTAGGGAGGAGAGGAAATAGGAAGACTAGTTGAACCGATGCATCGGGATCGTAACGAAGCTTAGTTCCTGTATCCTGCTCGACCTCAAACCAGCTCCTTGTAGGCGACTGATGGGTCCCTCTGGAAACAGCGGGCGATCGGCAAGCCATCACATTTGCCTCCAGAGCCTTCCACAGTCATCAGGGAATTGATAGAATTCATTTGCTTTCTCTTTCTTGTTTTTTTTTTTTTTTTTTTTTGGCTTTTTCGGTCACACCCGGCAATGCACAGGGGTTACTCCTGGCTCATGATGCACTCAGGAATTGTTCCTGCCAGTGCTCAGGGGACCGTATGGGATGCCAGGGATCGAACCTGGTTAGTCGCGTGCAAGGCAAGCGCCCTGCCCCCTGTACCCGCTCCAGCCCTTTGCCTTCTCTTTTACGGCATGCTACTCTGGGGGTGGATGGGCCTGTGGTTCTGCCCAGCCTCTCAGTGTCTGGTGAGCTGAAAAGCCGTTTCCCACTAAGTGGCAGGAATGGTTTCCGTCCTCGTTTCTGCCTGTCTGCATCGCAGTCTGGCAAGAGAAATGCCCGTCACTGTCGAGACTCTTGTCCTCACCGTGTCTTGCCGCTTCGTGGGAAGGTTCAGATGGGCATCTGCCACCTCAGTTCATGTCCTCGGTTAGAGCTCGGAGTGTTTCTTCCGCTCAAGCGTAAAGTGAGGGACGTGGGCTCCAAACCAGTATCCACCCCGCCAGTGTCCCTCTCTCTCTCACTGGGCCACAGGTGGGCCCCGAGCCCTGGGCTGTGTAGCGGGGTCTGTTGGCTCGATGCGTGGTTTCTGTCTCTGTAGCACTGGAAGTCATTCTGATTTGTTTTCCTCTGCAGTCTAAAAATATTTTTTTAGCAAACAAACGAATTTATTAAAGAGTAATTGGTTTTTAAAGACATAACTACCGGTTTTAGCTTATGGCGAACACGAAGTGCTCAGTCAACTCATCTTATTTACCCAATCACAGCAAAACAGTCCTACTATTCCAGTAAAGCAGGTCTTACATTGTGTAAATGTGGAGTTTCCTTCCAAAACATTCCAAGCACTTACACTCCTGCAGCCCGTTCCTCTCCTGCTGCGCCATGATCAGTTTTTACAGAGTGGACGGTGCTGCCCCCAGGGGGTGCTGGAGGAGTCTTCGGGTGCACAGTCTTACCCTCAGGTGCAGTCGGGAAGCACTTTCTGTTCTGGGGACAGAGGTTTCCGGGGACTCGCCCAGTAACTTTTTTTTCCCTGAAAAGTAAGTGGTAGGCCAAATAGCTTGGGAACTCTCTTTCTCCACTCCCTCTCTCCATCTCTTTCTTCTTCTCCCGCTCTGTCTCCATCTCCCTCCCCGTCTTCCTTTCCCTCTTCCCCTCTCCCTCCCTGTCTTCCCCCTCTAACCTCCCCCCCATCCTTCCCTTCATTGCACTGTCAGGAGTGGAAATCAGAAGGGCAGGTCAAGTCTCAGCATCTTAGGCCGGTGTCCTCCCCCTGACCCACGTTCCAGCCTTCCCGTTTCTCTTGCAGCCCAGTCTTCATCTTCCCTCTGCTTCCTTTTCATGCCTCGGTCTCTATGAAATAGCCTTTACTTACATTTGAATCACGCCCCACTCAGAAAACATTGCAGACCCGTTTCTCACATCATCTTTTTTTTAAAAATAAAAAGAAGTCTGAGAGTTTTCTCTGAATCAGTCGTACACTGAGAACCATCCTCACTGCCCTTTCATTTATTATTTCCCAACGCCTCCAGCATCAGTTAAAAGTCCCTCTAGGCTTGCATCCAGCCTTCACTGCCTGCCCCCTGCCTGCCTCTCAGCCTGGGCACTCACCGCCTCCCCCACGCCCTTCCTCCCACCCCCCCCCCCACCCCCGCCCCTAGTATTCCCTGCACTGCCCAGGCACCTTACTTTCTGGAATGTCTGCCTGCCTCCCCTTCCCCTCTGCTCATGCCCGTCCCTCTGTGGCAATGCTGAGCTGTTTTGTGACCCTTTCAGTATGTTCTCCAACCCAGTGCTCTTGAGCCCCAGAACCACCCCACGTACACTTAAAAAAAAAAAAAAAAGGTTGAGACTTAAGGTCGTGAAAGGGGCCCAGTCTTAACTCCTCTGCCTATTCAAGCAAGTCGTACAGGACTTGGCATATGCTCCGTATGGCTTGTAGCACTTACATAGATTGTCTCTGCAGGAAGGCCGCTTTGTTTGCGCAGTGTAGTTGAGGTAGAGTGGTTACAAAAGTGTTTATGTGTGTACTTCTGAGCTTGAATGAGTGTTTGTTATGTATCACTTGGTTTTGTGTTGTTGGGTTTGGGCGGTGCTTGAGCACTTCTCTCCGTGCCATGCTCCAGAGTCGCTCCTGGTAGTGCTTGGGGGACTAGGTGGTGCTGGGGGGGTCACACCAGAGCCCCCCACAGGCAGAACATGCAGCCCTTCCCCTGGCCCAGGAAGGTCCTTCCCAAGACCAAGGACAGAGAACTCTGATGAAGGGGCCAGAGAGATAGCACAGCAGGAAAGGGACTTGTCTTGCATGCGCCCAGACAGGGTTCAGCCTCCAACACCACATATGATCAGTCTCCTAAGCAATGCCAGGACACACACACACACGTACTGCACAGCACCATGAATTAGCACACACACAGTAGCAGCACAGGGCCATGCATAACCTTTGAGTACAGCCAAGTGTGACCCAAACACCAAGAAAAAAGAAAACTCGATGAAGTTGCAGTATATGCGTAGAACTGGCGTATAAATCCCCTGACTCCTACGGGCTGCAGGGCCCATATTTCATTGGGAGAAGCCAGGCTGATGAGTAGTGAACGCGCGCAGGCTTCAGCGGCAGATGAAAGTGTTTGCAGATGTGAAAGCAAGATTCTTCAGGCCTTTTTCACTATCAGAGCTTGCAGTCCCCATCTCCAGGAAGCAAAATAGTAAACATTTCATTCCTTTTGTTTCGGCGTTCCGATAATTTCAAGAAATTATCAAACAAGAAAAGAAATCCTGGAGAAGTTGAAAGACACAGCCCTAAGCAGATGTTCCTGGAATCTTAAGGTCACATTTCTCGGGCAGCGTGTGTTTGTCAGCTTCTCAAAGAATAATCTGTCCGCGTTCCACCCCCACCCCCCCCCCCGCCACCGAATAAATTAAAATTCATTTCCTAGGAAATGCCAATCGCCTTACCTTCCTGCTATTAAGCAGAATGCAGCTAATGAAAAAATGACCAGCCCACAGTCACCCTGAGTTTTTTTTTTTTTAAACCGAGTTGGCCCCACCATTCAGTGGCAGTTAGCGTGATGGTGTGGTTTGAATGGACACGGGAAGTGAGAGGTGCAGCTGCGCATTGCAGACGCGGGCGGGAATCATGGGTCCTGTGTTCCCTGAGAGGCCCCCCGTCATCAGCCTGTTCAGAAACTCAAGGAAAGCCAGAATTCGCACTTGAGGTGTCTCCTTTATTCTGAAGAGCCTGAAGAGTCTCCAGCCCCCATCCCCACCTTAGACCTACTGGGACCTCGCTCTCCCCTCCCCGCCGCCCCGTCTCCCTCCCCTCCCCCCTCCCGCAGTGGGGTCTCGTGATGGACTATGTGGGAACTAGGCCCTCTCGACTGTCTTCCCTTTCAAAACAGGTCTGAAGCCCAAATTCATATTCACGGTCCACTCTGGGATCTCTGCTTCCTGCCCCAGCCCTGAGCTCCATCTGACTGCCTGGTCCACTGTCGGGCCCCTGACTCTGGTGATGGGCTCATGGAGGTGCCTCAGGGTCCAGTTCAGGGCCGCATGTGATCCCCTCGGATGTCTCCGCCTCCCGAAGGAGTGTCCTGCTGGAGAATCCGATCCTGATGAGTGTCTCCTCGAAACAATGTGAATATAAACGTGGCTGGAGGGACTTCGCTGACTCCCTGTGGGGTAGAATTCCCAGTAATAACAGATTTAGCATGTGGACCGATACCTTTTTAGTATCACAGGGACGGCATTGTTTAGAGAAAGCCTTGACTCCATTTGAATAGTGCGGAGGATGCCAGGAGGAAGGCCAGAGGAAAAGGAAACGGGAGAGCGGTTGGTTTGTCTCACCCTCACCTCAGATGACAGGAAGTCGGAGTTGAGATTGGCCACATCTGTTTGAGTCACTTGAAAGCTCCATAGAAACCGAGCCCAGGACGAGGGCCAGAGTGGCAGGCGCTCGGGGGCAGCCCCCCGGCAGGAGGCCTCTCTTCCTCCGCCTGTCTGTGTTCTTGATCCCAGATCGGCCGTGCAGGCACCTGGGGTGTCTGGGGACCCACGGCGGGAAGATTGGTAGGATGGGCCCAGCTCCCCCGGCCCTGTGTGGGACCCGCCTCGGTCACGGTCCTAATGTGCAGTCACGCCCGAGCACTTGCAGACATGCTACTCGCCACAGCGTGGGTTTGGGCTGTCTCCCACTGCAATTGGGGGGAGCCAGCGGGGATGGCGGCCAGGCCATCGCATTGTTGACGCGGCCGTGTGGGTGCAGGCTGCTCTGTTTCTGAGATAGGATAGACAGACTGGCATTGGGTTGTGGGCGCGTGTGTTTCTGCTGAAGTTCGAGTTATTCACAAATGCAATTGCGTTGCCAAGAAATTAAAAATAAATCGGGGCTATTTTTGAGCTTTTTCCCTGTTTGTGGGCCAGACAGCTGTTTGTTAGGTGTGGGGTTTTGTTGTTGTTGTTGTTGTTGTTTGGTATTTTTGTGCCGGACAGACCCATAGCCACGACAGTTTCTGTTCCACCTACAGGCAAACAACCCTGCTTGCCAAATAAAGGAGCGCAGCAGTTTGGGTAGAGGACACGGGCCAGGGGTTCTCAAGTTTATTCCTGGGGTACGTTAACTCCGGGAGCCAGAGAGATAGTGCAGTGGATAGGGCGCTTGCCTTGCACACGGCCGACCCGGGTTTGATCCCCGGCATCCCATGTGGGGCCTCCAAGAACCGCCAGTAGCGACCCATGAGTATCACAAGAGATGGCCAAAAAAAAAAAAATACAAAACAAATTAGCTCGAGGTTTTGCGTGACCGGCGGGCTCACAGGCTCTGTCTCCCCACAGATACCACCTCCTCAAGCTCCTGCAGAAGTTCGGCACAGTGAAGCAGTTTGACTTCCTCTTTCACAAGTCAGGTGCCCTGGAGGGCCAGCCTCGCGGGTACTGCTTTGTGAACTTCGAGACTAAGCAGGTAACACCATCCCTCCCTCCAGGCACCCCTGCCCTGGGCGTTAGGGGACCTTGATCCCGGTGGCCCTCCCTAGCCGGAGCCACATCTGGTAGGGCTCTGAGCGCCTCCCTGAGCTGCACCTCAGCCCCACTGACCTCGTGACCACTTTGCACATCTGCCCTCCCTGGGCCCACGCGGGAAGGCGCCTGACCCACTTTCCCAACCAAACGCTCTAGGATGCCCGCACAGAGCACATGGCCGCCTCCTCCCTGTTCTGTTTTGTTTTTCCGTCAGCGGTTGGCCAACAAAGCCTCCTTTTCTTTCAGTAGCTCTGCCCCGTGCTGCTGAAGCCCCCCCCCCTCCCGTCTGTGGTGAGCCACCCACAGGCTCTTTTGAATTTTCCTTAAAATGCGCCTGTCTCGGGCCCAGAACAAATGCAGGCACAGGCGAATGTACGTAGAAAAGAGAGTCCTGCCCCATCCAGGACACACACAGGTATCTTTTCGTGAGGCAGTCTGCAGTCTGCACCTGGGGGTTGACATGCGTTTATAAAGAAACTGAATCTGAATGTTATTAAACGCAGAGGCACTTCTTAGTACCTGCGATGGCTTGATAATTCGTATGTAAAAACATTGCCTGGTTAATTACTTTATTAGTAATTATATTTGGATATTTTTCTTATTTTAAACCTGCTTATTTATAGATGAAAATATGGATAAGTAGCTTCACTCAGCTTGAAATAATCACGCTAATAGTTACGTATTTTTCTTGTTTTTCCACATTCATTCATAGTTCATAGCACAGATAGGATCATATTATCGTGTTTACCACTAGGTGCATTAAAATTTTTCTGTCAACTAACACACTTCAAAATAATATTATATGTCGTGATACTGTGATTTTACTACAGTGGCTATGAATATATGTACACATGTGAAAATTCAAGGTAGCTGTATTCTTGACGTTTATGCATTTTATTATCCATTAAGCCTCTGGGGTCCGAGCAATAGCACAGTGGGTAGTGCGTTTGCCTTCCATGCAGCCGACCTGGATTCGATCTCTGCATCCCACATTGTCCCCTGAGCATTGCCAGGAGTGATTCCTAAGTGCAGAGCCAGGAGTAATCCTGGACATCGCTGCATGTGGCCCCAAAATAACAAAAAGCAGTCCTCAATTTGAAAACAAACCACCCCCCAAAAAATGGGAGAATAGCAACTAGACAGAGAGAACGGGGGCTAGTGCACTTGCTTGCAGGCCACCAACCCCACTTAGAATCCCCGATGTCATATAAGGCCCCCCAAGCACCTCCAAGGACCGCTACTAACAGAGCCAGAGTAGCCCCTGAGCACAGCCAGGGACGGCCCCAACACTCAGAAGTAAACAAGAACACATCAGTATCACTTTGACAACTGCATAAAATGTCATTTCATATGATCATCTGGTAAATTATTAGACAGATTCTCTAAATTTGCAATTCAGGCTGTCCCATAAAAGCATAGATACCCGTTGGGAATCTCATGTAGGTCTGACAGTATGCATGTTTTCTATGTTTATGAAAACAAAGGACATCAGCAAAAAAACATTTTTTTTCTTAATAGAACTGCCAACTTACCTTCAAAAAACCCGCTGTGTTCTGAGATTGTAGGAAGATGTCAAATGTCTTTTATATTGGAAATTTTTATTTTCTAAAATATTTGCAAGTCCGATAGACAATAAGTGATGTATTCTAATTCTTCAAATATTTCTGAGGGTGCTGAAGGCATGGCCCGTGTGCTTAGCATTCCCACTTCTGGTGGGGATGTGATGACCCAGGTTGTGGTGCCTGGTTGTGGCGCTCTCCCAGGGTTCCACGCCCCCTGGCCCCCGGGTGCAGTGGACTGTGGCATGGGGTTGGGGCTCTGGCTCATAGCCTTATACCTGCAAGACAGGGCAGTCACCACCCCACCATCTCTTCCTGAGTAGATTCCCGAATAGGCAGTTATGTCGGGCAGTTGTGTCGGTGATCCCCCATGCTGCAAGCAGTGTCCAGCCTCCCCGAAACTCCAGCAGCACCACGAGAGGGCACAGCCTCCATCACCCTGACCAGAACATAAGAGAACCTCGGGAGGGCGGTGCCAGGTGGGCACCGGGGCTGAATGTGAGAGCACCAGCAGTGGGGGGAGGAGACACAGGAAGTCGGGATCGACGAAGGCCCATCAGTCACTATAGGCTTTTTTTTTTCTTCTTTTTTCTTTTTGGGGCATACCTAGCAATGCACAGGGGTTACTCCTGGCTCTGCACTCAGGAATTACTCCTGGCAGCGCTCAGGGGACCATACGGGATGCTGGGAATCGAACCCGGGTTGGCTGCATGCAAGGCAAACACCCTCCCCGCTGTGCTATCACTCCAGCCCCACCATAGGCATCTAATGGTATTGTCGACTCCATGAACTTGGAAATGATACGCTGAGATAGGAAATTAACTTTGAAATAAGATGTCATGCTGATACTGTATTACTGCTGGCACTACAAAATTCGTTTTTGGTTTTTTTCTTTGTTTGTTTGTTTGTTTGTTTCAAAAAGACCTTCCAAGTTCACATTCACTAAGTGACATTTGACCAGAAACTTAAAGACCAACTTACTGATGTAATCCAGGAAGACGAGTCCTGGTGATTCTCCATAAATCCTCACGGGCAGGCGTGCTGGCGGGCTCCGGGGAATGAGCAGCTCTTCCGTATGCAGCCTGGACTGCCCGTGGGATCCCACTGTGGCCTCAGATAGACTCTTGTGTTTCTCTTCCTGTTCCTTCAAGGGCTCCTTCGCCCCCGGTCAGCATGGGGTACACTTGGCCCCATGCCTCCTGCACACACACGAAGCAGGGGTTTGGCAGGATGGGAAAGTACGGCCAGGCTTCCTGGGAATGGCCCGGAGTGACTATTACCCAGTGTCAGGAATTCCTTTCAAGCTTGTTGCTCGCCTCTCCGATAGGGAAAGGGTCAGGGAGTTCCTGGCTCTGCAAGCCAGGTGCCTCAATTGGCCCGCACCAATACCTTGCTCATGGTCACTTTGACTCACTCCTGCTTTTTCCGGCCTGGTTCCCTGCCCTCCCTGCCCTCCCATGTCCTTTGAAGCCAATGCTGTTTCTCGGTTTGAGTTCAGGAAGGCGCAGCCCTGATCCGGGTATAGCCTTAGCCCTGGATAGAGGCCCCTAAAATAACCATTTTGAGAGAGTAGGTGCTACCTCACCCAAGTGAACTATGTGGAAAATTAGCAATACTGTTGTCCAGGGCTGGAGCAATAGTACAGCAGGTAGGGCATCTTCTTGGCGTGCGACCGACCTGGGTTCGATCCCCTGGCACCCCATTTGGTCCCCTGAGTCCACCAGCAGAGAGCCCTGAGCACAGATCCAGGAGTGAGCCTTCAGTACTGCCAGGCACCCAAAACAAAAAAACAAAAAAATACTGCTATCAAACATCAATGCGGTGCTTGAAACAGGCTCCGTGCGCGCGCGCGCACACACACACACACACATACACACACACACACACACACACACACACACACACCTGTGAGACATTGCTGACTCGTCCACTCCAGGGAAGCAGCTCATCCAGGCTCCAAGCTCCGAGTACACACACACACACAGACACACACACCAGTGAGACGCAGCCAGGGACGGGGCCAGGGTGCAGATTCTTTCCGGCGTGACTCTTAAGGAACCCGTGCCCTTTTCTGTTAGTCTGCCCGTGTTTATCAGTCATTGCCTTTAGCCAGTCGCTTCCCAAGAGCAGTGGGTTAGCAGTGGGTGAGGTCCTCCAGCAGGACAGGCAGCGTCCTGGGCCTCCTCCTTGTCTACTAACATCAGCCCTTTCCCGGACAGGAAGCGGAACAAGCCATCCAGTGTCTCAATGGCAAGCTGGCTCTGTCCAAGAAACTGGTGGTACGGTGGGCACATGCCCAAGTAAAGGTAAGTCGGAGTGGGGGTCAGGGGATGCCGAGAGACTACGTGATGGCCCTCGCAAACAAGCCGCCGAGAGACCACTCTCCACTCACCGTTCGCCTCCCGGCCTCTCCACATCTGGAACAGGCAGACTTCGGTCTCCTACTTGTATTTACCATGTGTGTTGCCAGATTTTTCTTTTGAGAAACATCTCAGGAGGGATTAAGTTCCTTCGTTGTTTCTCTCCACATACCCACAGATTCTGTTTTTGATTGATTTTTCCATGTGGCTGATGTGTACGCTCAGACTCCCTCTCTCTCTCTTTCTCTCTTTCTCTCTCTCTCTCTCTCTCTCCCTCCCTCCCTCTCCAACCCCCTCTCTCTCCCTCTCCCTTCCTCCCTCTTTTTCTCCCTCTGTCCCTTCCTTACTCCCTCTCTCTTCCTCTCTCCCTCCCTGTCTCCTCTTTCCCTCCCTCTCTCTCTCTCTGTCTCTCATGCGTGCACATGCTCCCTCTCTCACATTCTTCGGGAGGAAAATTGTATTTATTTTTTAAATTAGCTGCTTTAGGCATTATTAGACTCTTCCCAGCGTCCCAGTTCTGTGGGGAGTTTGCATGTGTTTATTCTAAGAGCTTGGGAAACGGGTCGTCAGAAGGACTGCTCTAAGCACCGGCTTCTCCTCACTCCAGAGAATTGGAGGGTTCTTTTGTGGAGCTTTACAGTATCTGCATTTTTCCCCCCTTGGAAGGCCTGAAAAGGGCAAACTGCTTTTATTCATCCGGTGGTTGGTCTCTTAGAACGTGCCGGAGAAGACGGGTGGCATTCCCTCAGACCCGGTACAGAGGTGGGTGCGGTGCTGAGTTGATTCCCTTCCTCCCACGGTGCGACCTTTCGGCTGAGGCGCTGTACCAGGCTCTGTGCTCAGGGTTCCCCCCTCCCCCCCCCCAGCAGTGCTGGGGGCAGGGGCGTGCAGTGCTGAGACTAGAACTGGATGTAGCCTGCAGGACGCCCTTGGGGCTCCCTCGTACAGTGGGGTCTTAACAGGCCTCGCTATCAAGAGATTTCCATTCAGATTGCCCATGTCGCTCTGTAGCTCTGTGAGCGGCCTCTGAACGGAAACTGCTCAGGAGAGACGCAGAGAACCACACACTTTGAGCTCGGCATCCAAGCTGAAAATCAGACTCTTAGGAGTCTTCTGAGTGTTCAGGTAATCACAGGGCCTTCTCAGTTAAAACAGAAACAACGAGAAGGATTACCAAATGCATTTTCTACGCAAGAAAAAAAATCAGGTCTCGATTGCCAAGCTGTCGTGTTCCGCTCCTGCGTCTCATTGAACAGACATGCAGGAGAAATCATGGCTCTTGTCTCATTCGAGACCCCCTCTTGCCTCATGCTTCTCTTCTCTGGCAACTCTTTTTTGACCAGAGGTTCCTGACTGCTAATATCATACCTTTTACCAGAAGTATGTGATTATCTGTTACTAAACTTAACCCTTAGTATAGAACGTTGTATTATCAGTGACTGAAAACACTGTTCCTCCTTTTCTTGTTTGTGCAGATCAATTAATAGTTGAACATTGGGGGACGGGAATGATAGTACATCAGGTAGGGTGTTTGCCTTGCACACAGCCCATCTGGGGTCAATTCCCAGCATCCCATATGGTCCCCTGAGCACTGCCAGGAGTAATTTCTGAGTGCATGAGCCAGGAGTAACCCCTGTGCAAAGCCGGAACCCCAAAAAAAGGAGTTGAACATTAAATGCTCAGTACTTTGTGAAACCCTACCAATAAGTATTGTGGTTTCATTCGAAGTGGAAAGGGGGCTGGGCAAGTTGGGCTTCATCTGGTGGTGCTTGAGGGCTACTCCCAGCTCTGCTCAGGGAGCAGGGATCATGTGGTGGGGGGTGGGGGGGGTAAATATTTTGAATACAGCCAAAGAAATTAGCTAAGCCGCAATAGGTAACAGTTGATTTAAGTCTAGTGGGCTGGAGCGATAGCACAGCAGGGAGGGTGCTTGTCTTGTACGTGACCCACTCCGGTTGGATTCCCAGGACCACCTATGATCCCCTGAAACCCGCCTGGAGTGGTCCTTGAGTGCGGAGCCAGGAGTAAGCCCTGCACTGCCAGACCAGTTGTGTCTCCCCGCCCCCAACCCCCCCAAAAAAAACAGTTTTTAAAATAAGATTGTAATAGTGCAACTCGCTGTGTTTTGTGCTGTATATGAATTTAAAAGTTGAGGTTCTTGGGGGTTGGAGTAATAGTACAGCAGGTAGGGTACTTCCCTTGCACGCGGCTGACCCGGGTTCGATTCCCAGTATCCCATATGCCCCCGAGCACCACCAGGAGTAATTCCTGCGTACATAAGCCAGGAGTAACCCCTGTGCATCGCCAGGTGTGACCCAAAAAGCAAAAGGAAAAAAAAAGTTGAGGTTCTTCCTATATGAAATGAGGACTTACAACTCGATGGGATGCTTATTCTAAGAATTTTTTTAAGAGCCAAAATAGTGGAGTTTGCATTGTTTCCCCATGGAAAGCAGTTGTCAAGTGTCTGTAAGTGAGCTGATCACACTCTAGTGGGACAGGGGTTTTCTGGAGCTCCACCCCGCAGAGCAGGACTGGTGTGTGCTCAGCAAAGTGGTTTCCCTTTTCCTTCCTTCCAGAGGTACGATCACAACAAGAATGATAAGATCCTCCCCATCAGCCTCGAGCCATCCTCCAGCACTGAGCCCGCTCAGTCCAACCTGAGGTAAGCGGGGCCCCGGGGAGGGACACACGCTCCCCCAGAGCCCGGCCACTTCCTCCCGGCAAGCCTTCCTTTGCGGTCCGGGAAATCTCCAGACGGGCATTGACAATAGCATCCGCTAAATTTTGGCACACTGAAAGATGGGCTCGGTTAGTCTCCAGAATGTGCGTCTCTCCTCCTGTCGCCTCAGGATCGCGTGTTACCCATTTATAGAATCCATTCACTCCAAAAAGGAGGCAGAATTGCTGCTCCCAGCCTTAGTCCTGGGAAGGCAGCTGCCTCCAGCCCAGCCGGTCACCTCAAAACAAACATTGGACTCACCGTGAGGGTCTGTGGTGTTGGTCACTTCAGCTCCTCCCCGTCAGACTCTCTGTGCAGTGCTTCCCTTCGCTGTGCCATTTCAGTAACTATAACAGTTTGGGTTCTAATATGTACAAATTGTCAGTTACTTCTTTGGAGTTAATTCAAAACAGAAGGAGCTATGGGTTGGGTAGAGAAAGGGGAAGTGGATGGCTGAGCAGAAGTAGAAGGAATTTTTTTTCCCCTTCTTTCTTTTTTTTATTTTTGCATCCTAACCTCGGGAGAAATTATAACAATAACTCTAACAATAGCCAGGATTTAAGGAGCTTGCTACGAAGCAGGCACTGCCCGTGCTAAATACTTCAGATGCTGTATGTCAGTGAATTATCATAAATATTTTGGTAAAAGTTCTGTTACACTCATTTTACATAGGAGGAGACAAACCTAGTGGGGTAAAATACCTCGGCCTGGAATGCAAAGAGCAGAGTCCAGATTACAGCTGGGACTGTTGGGCCCCCAGCCTCGTCACCTCTTCAGGGACACTCCGGGCTTTGTGCAGCTCTAAACTAATCCAGAAAGCAGGGAAGGTGCATGAAGGATGGGGCCGGAGACACAGCAGCTTGCCTTGCACGCAGCTGACCTGGGTTCGGTTCCCGGCAGCCCATCTGGTCCTCCACGCCTGCCAGGAGTGATTCCAGAGCAACACCTGGGTGTGGCCCAGAAAACTAGACACACGCCGAGAGAGAGAGAGACAGACAGAGTACGAGAGCAAGTACTAGGGAGCAATTTCACTGTCTCAAAAGACTCAGAGGTCAGTGCTCTGCCCCACGGTCAGGAAGGCAGTGGCTGTGTGACAGCGGCTAGGGAGCAGAGCCAGAAGGCTTTCTCATATCCTTTCTGAACCATGCCAAAGAGGCGCATGCATATCGTTAAACTGCCGGGGAAGGGAGGAAGCCTGAGACGTTTTTAAGAAAGACAAGATCAACAGACTGAAATTAACTGTGCCAGGTCCAGAACCTACTACAAAGGCTAAGGCAGTTGCCTCGCACGTGGCTGCAGCCACGACAACGGTGCGAGTCCCAGCTCTGCTTCTGTGGCCCTGAGCACGGAGCCAGGTGTGGCCCCTGAGTGACAACAGGTGCGGCTGGTTAGGAAGAAAGAATGATGATTGGGGCCAGAGAGGTAGTACCAGGGGCAGGGCACTTACCTTGTACACAGCCAACCCTGGTTCAATCCCAACACCACGTATGGTTGGTCCTCCAAGCCCAGCCAGGTACAATCCCTGAGTGCAGAGCCAGGAGTAAGCTCTGAGCAACCCCATGCATGGTGTAAAAAATTAAAAAAGTAAATCTTTAAAAAAAAAAAACTCCAAAACAGATTTTTATTATTTTTCTTTTGCAGCTTCTAATTTGTCCACTTTTGTTGGTATTAACTTTCCTACTGCTGATGTTTGGGGTTGGGGGTGTTTATGTTTTAGTTTTGGGGTCACGCCCAGGAGTGCTGAGGGATGGCTCCTGGGCTCTGCCCTCGGGGCTCACTCCTAGAGGGTTCAGGTGACCATATGGGGTGCCAGGGATGGAACCCTGGTCAGCTGCTTGCAAGGCGAGTGCCCTCCCCACTGTGCTCTCTCTCCAGCCTCTTCCCCCTAAGAATTTAACCTTGATCACAGACAGGTGGCTGCATTTGTGCTTGGTGACAGCCTCATAAAGCAGTGAACTCCGCTCTGGTTTATTTTCCAAGTTGGTACTTTGCACTAGTGTTTTTCATCTACTTTTTTTTGAATTTTTTACATTTTTTTAATTTGGGGGCCACACCTGGTGATACTCAGAGGTTACTCCTGGCTCTGCGGTCAGGAGTTACGCTTGGTGGTGTTCGGGGGACCATATGACATCCTGTGAATCAGATCTGGGTCATACACCACCAACGCCCTCCCCACTGCACTAGTGCCGCAGCTCATCATCAGATTTCGAATCTCGAGAGCCTGAGCTTAACATCTTTCCCGTCACATCCTTGCCTGATTCGGGAAGGCTATTGCCCTGGGATTCAAGCTGCGGGAAGGCGTGGCTGCCTGGCCTCACTCATGGAGCAGCTGCTGGGCTGCCCCTTGGTAAAGTTCCATCCCCCTTTGCCCTGTTGCTGCATCTGCGAATGTCCCAGCGCCCTGGATAAAGAGGAGCCATTACTCTTTTTTTTTCCTTTTTGGGTCACACCGGCAATGCACAGAGGTTCCTCCTGGCTCTACACTCAGGAATTGCTCCTGGCGGTGCTCAGGGGACCATATGGGATGCTGGGAATCTAATCGGGGTCGCTGTGTGCAAGGCAGACGCCCTCCCTGCTGTACTATAGTTCCAACCCCAAGAGGAGCCATTACTCTTGAGGGGGTCTGAATGTCCACGTTGTGTTCGCTAAAGTCCCTCTGTCCATAGACCGTTGACAGCGTCAGAAATAGGAAATGCCTGTTGCCCGTGTGCTTTGCTTTCTGACCCAGCACTAGCCCACAGCGTGAGGGAATCCCGCTCAGCTTCTGCGCCGTTTCCTCCTCTTTTCTCTCACGCCCTGCTCCGCTTCCAGCCTGGTGGAGAAGAAAGAGCGAGCAAGGGCTTTGGGCATCAGCAAACTGGACTTGAGTGAGTCCACACCCCTCGACTTGTCAGATGTGTGAGCCTTGGGCATACTCTGCCCTCTGTATTTGCTTTTTCCTTCTAAAACCTTACAAAAATGGGCCCGAGGGGCTGGAGCGATAGTACAGCGGGTAGGGCATTTGCCTTGCATGCAGCCAACCCGGGTTTGATTCCCAGCATCCCATATGGTCCCCCGAGCACCGCCAGGAGTAATTCCTGAGTGCATGAGCCAGGAGTAAATGCTGTGCATTGCCGGGTGTGACCCAAAAAGCCAAAAAAAAAAAAAAAAAGAGAGAGAAAAGAAAAGAATGGGCCCGAGAGACAGTACAGATGGCAGTGTTCTTGCCTTGAATGCAGCTAACCCAAATTCTGTCCCTCTCACCACATATAGTCCCCAAGTAATCCCTGGGCCCAGAACCAAGTTACTGGGTCTGTGGCCCTAAAGCAAAAATACATGAAATAAAACCTTCCAAGGTTGTTGCAAGGATTCAAGAGGCTCCAGGAGGCGTTGGGCACGGCCTGACTCTGCGTAATCACCATGTAAATGACAGCTGTACAGACAATTTTGTTAAGAGAGAAAAAGGTTTCTAATGATTTCCCATGAGTTTTTTTTACATTGTTAATGATCCAGAAGTTAGTATGCAAGTCAGTAGAATGGACCTTAGAGTCAGACTGCCCTCGGGTCTCAGCTAGAGAACACTGGGCAACTAACCGCTTTCTGTGCCTTCTTTTTATCTGCAAAATAAAACCCAAAACCTCCCTTGCAATACTGCTTTCAGCCCTTCATGAATTTGTTCGCAATTTCAGTTGTTGTTTTCGGGACACCCTTGGGGTGCTTACTCCTGGCTCTGTGTTCAAGGGTCACTCCAAGTTGGGGATTGGGGGAACATATGGGGTGCCGGGAGTTAAACCTGGGCCAGCCACGTGCAAGGTCAGTGCCTTCCCCACAGTACTGTTGCTCTGGCCCTGTTCTTGCAATGTTTTTCGTTACAAAACACCCATGACAAAATTCACCATCCTAATTATTTTCAAGTATATCATCAGTTGTTACTAAATAATTTATAGTGTTGCCCAACCTTCACTACCATCTACCTCTGTAGTTGTTTTCATCTTGTAATTTGAAAACTTGATACCTGTTAAACAGTAACTTTGTTTCTACTTCTCCCACCACCTGCCCCCAGCAGCCACCGCCTACTTTGTGCCTGTGATTTGAATGACTGCTAGTCTCTCACATAAGCTGAATCAAACAGTGAAGTAGTGAAACAGGTCTGTCTCAAAAAGGCAGATACCAGAACCCCAAATGTTCCCCACTGCCCAGGCACTGCCAGGAGTGATCCCTGAGAACAGCCAGGAGTAAGCCCTGAGAACAGAGGCCCAAAAACAAAACACAGAGGGGGAGGGCGGGGAAGCAAAACATTTTGGGTGTACACTACCTCTTCCCAACCCTGCTGTTGCTTCCTCCACAAATTAATTTTGAGTCCCTGTTCACTGCCAGGCATGAGGCGGTGAGCAGCGTCTGGCCCTGGGGATTCCACGTGGTGATGATTGAAACACTCCCGAAGGTATCTGGGCTCCTAGCAGAACCTGTAAAGCTGTCTGGTGCTTCACAACATTTAGGTGTCGCGGGTACATGAAAGTGGTTCTTGGAGGGTCTCTGAGAGTGTGTGTGTGTGTGTGTGTGTGTGTGATTGGATGATAGAGACCGGCACAGCCACAAAGCCACCTGAGCCACGTACTCTGCCTGCCATCAGGAGGCACCTCACCACAGAGCATCCAGACCCTTGCATCTTTCTTAAAACCAGCACATTAGTTCGTGTGTGTGTGTGTGTCTGTCTTTGTCTTTGTGTCTGTGTGTCTGTTCATATTCAGGTGCCTTGCTTGCTTCTCCAGTATGCAAAAGGGGCCCCAGACAGGTGAGCACCTCACTGCAGAGCGTCCAGACTCTCGAGTCTTTCTTAAAACGAGCACGTTAGTTCATGTGTGTGTCTGTCTGTCCATATTCGGATGCCTTGCTTGGTCTTCTATTATGCGTAAAGGGCCCCAGACAGGTGAATACCTCACCGCAGAACGTCCAGAATCTTGCATCTTTCTTAAAACGAGCGTGTGTGTGTGTGTGTGTGTGTGTGTGTGTGTGTGTGTGTGTGTGTGTGTGTGTGTGTCCTGGGCCTGCCATCTGCAGCCCAACTCTGACCCTCTACTGTCCTCTCCGCAGTGTCACCGCGAAGATCAAAGCCATTGAGGCTAAGCTGAAGATGATGGCTGAGAACCCGGATGCCGAGTACCCTGCCGCCCCGGTGTATTCCTACTTCAAGCCGCCCGATAAAAAAAGGACTACTCCTTACTCAAGAACAGCCTGGAAGTCCCGGAGGTGATGGCTGCAGTTCCTGTCCCCGTGCAAGCACACGGATCCCGACCCCTTAGCTCCTCTGCCTCTGTCCTCCCTCGGTGTGACCGGTACTGTCCAACAGAGCACAAAGCACACGGTAGACCGTGGTGACGTAACGTTTTTGGATGTTCTCACGGCTCTTGCTTCCCTGAAGTATGTGTGGAATTGAGCATTGTCCAGAATAAATAGGATTCTCTCCAAATCTGTGACTCAAACTCTGGGATGCGCTAGTTGGCTGGTCTGTTTGAATTTGTAGCTCCAGAAACAACATATATTGGTGCCAGAAAGGCAAACTTTTTAAAAAGTTACTATTTCAATCAGGAAACTAAATTTATTAACATCCGTCTTAAAAATAATAGAGCATTTTTTTTCTGGTGCTCAAGTGTCTTTGCAACATAAAAGTGAGAGACGGGGAAGGAAGTAAAATATTTGGAATCATGTTAGGAGCTGGTGTTCCCGAGTTCCCTGCAGCAGTCCCTCTAGCTGGGCTGAAAGAGAAAGTCCTCAGCCAAAGAAAGCTGGTTTTTAGAACAAGGATTGAGGTCTTTTTTCAAATGTTGCTTATTGATTCAAAAATCTCATCTAGGCAGACGTGGTGTATGGCTTAAAACTCTGCATCAGCAAAACAAGAATAAAATTTAGTATACACCAACCATAATGAAATTCTATTTGGAAACCCAACTTTTATTCTGTAGTGATTTTTTTGTTTTTTTAAATAGCCCTGCCACCTTCTGTAATATCAAGTGTTATTTAGCTGTGGGACTTTTTAAATCGCTCTTAGTGCATGAGGTTGTTTTTATCGCATGAGAATGTTCCATTTGGAATTGCATCCTGGTCAAAGTAAATAGGAAAGCAAGCTTTTTCTTTGAAAACCTAGCCACCATTCGCTGATGGCTCGCAGACATCATTTTCTAGTTGTTTTACGAGAGTCCAAGCAGAGGACACGTGAGTGCCAGGTGCAGGGAGAGGATGCAGAGGCCATGGGCGTGAGCCCCAGCCTGGCAGCACTGTCGCAGCGAGCCCCCCGTTTCCGGTTTAAAAGCCTTGGGAGAGGACAGAACTTCTTTTCAGAACGTGCTTCTCCCCAGCCAGGCTCTGCTGCATGGAACATGCTGAGGAGAGCAGCAGAGCCCCGGGTGAAGCCACAGGCCTGGCAGCGTCGGTGACGGCAGTCACTTAATTTCTGTCCGTAACCTTGGTCTCAGGGGCCACAGCATTGCTGCTTCCCTCGGCAAGTGACTCTCTCAAGGACTGTTCCTAGCAAGAGAAAACTTGGATTAGAGGAACATCAAGTCTCCCAGGAGGCCTCCGTGAGTTTAAGATTCTTGAACCCAAACTGGCAGCATGGCGAGATCTACAGGTTCTTAGAACTGAGTCCGAGAAATTCTTAGAGCCTTTCCCTGGGTAGCTCTTTTTAGAGACTTTAGAACTGTTGCGTAGTTTCTGCGTTTGTTAGTGATTTGACATGCTTCCCTTCCATTCTGAGGGTTAGATCCAGGAGGGACATGCACTGGCTCTCCCCCACCCCACCCCACCCCCTTTTTTTTTTGGTCTGGTAACTTCGTAGAACATAGAGCTCACCATTTTCTCCTTAAGTTCTCAGCGGGTGATGGTGGACTAGGACTCGGACGGACTTAATGCAAAATCGTCTTCTATTTTTAATAGGATCTTAGAAAATACTTAACTTTGGATTCTAGAGAATCGTTTCCTTTAGAAAACAGAGCTATTTATTTGTATTTAAAGCAGTGTTTATTTGTACCGATTCTTACTCTTCTGTGTGAATAAACGCAAGACATTGTGTGTGGTGGTGTCTTCTCTTCCACGCTTCCTCCGCTCACAACGGTGCCTCTCGACGGGCCATTTCTGCTTGGGACTCAGACTCCACCCCAGCCAGTGTGCTGTCTCATCAACCTCTTTGCATAAGGTTTCAGCTCTCGTGACCCAGCATACCTCTCCACATATACGCCTGCCAGTTTCTGCACTGAGAACAAAGAGATGAGCTGTTCCCCCTGCAGGTCTGTGGTGGAAACCCCTGAGAACGTCCTGTGTTTTGGGTCACACTGGCCCTCTCTCAAAGTAGAATTTTCCAGTGAGGGGCTGGAGCAATAGTACAGTGGATGGGGCATTTGCCTTGCGCGCGGCTGACCCAGGTTCAATCCCCAGCATCCCATATGGTCCTCTGAGCACTGCCACAAGTAATTCCCTAGTGCAGAGCCAGAAGGAACCCCTGAGCATCACCAGATGTGACCCAAAAAGCCAAAGAGAGAGAGAGAGATTTGAGACCCCCAAAAGAGGGAAAGGGGAAAAAAAAAGCTTTCCAACAAATGAGTTTTATGTCATCAACAAGCTGAAAGCAGTCTAGTAAAAGGTTTGGGGTTCTGTTTTTTTTTTTTCTAAAAGTGTTTTTATTTATACAGGGATGAGGAAATGAGCTGTTCAGCAGCAGAGAGGTGAGGACAGTCTTCCAAGTCTCATTTCCAACTTTCCGACTTGACAAAGTTAATGTTCCCCAGTTAACTGTCATTTGCTCTCAGCAATGGGGAAGAAGAACACAGGAAAGATTTTTAAAAGCGAGAAACTTGCACATTTTCAGAACTTTTCTAAAACTCTGATCCTGGGGGCTAGAGCGACAGCACAGCAGGTAGGGCATTTGCCTTGCATGCGGCCGACCCTGGTTCAATTCCCAGCATCCCATATGGTCCCCTGAGTACCACCAGGAATAATTCCTGAGTGCAGAGCCAGGAGTATCCCCTGTGCATAGCCAGGTGTGACCCAAAAAGCAAAAAACAAAAAATAATGAAACCCTGATCCTTTTTAGAAAGCATGAGCAGTTGGTTTCTAAATCAGCGAGCCTGTCTGATTTCTTAAAAGAATGGGGCTCAGGGACCGGAGAGATACTATAGAGGGTAGGGCGCTTGCCTTGCATGTGGCCAACCATTTTGATCCCCGACACCCCATATAGAAAAGAAAATGGGGTTCATTCTTGCCTTACAAATATTTCCTATCTATAATTGCTAGTTCCTAAAATAGAATCTGATCATCGTAGATCTTTTTTTTTTCTTAATTATTTGGGTCACACCCAGTGATGCTCAGAGACTACTGGCTCTACACTCAGGAATTAATTCTGGCCTTGCTCAGGAATTAATTCTGGGGGACCATATGGGATCCCGGGGATCAAACCCGGGTTGGCTTCGTGCAGGGCAAATGCCCTACCCGCTGTCCTATCACTCCAACCCTCCCCCCACATCATCGTAGATTTATCTTTGCTTTCTCTTTTTCTCTCTGGAGTCTTGCAAGTCCTTCAAGAACCCCATCAGCCCTGCTTTCCATGCCCACGGCCTGAGAGAGTTCCCCAGGCCTTTCCTTCACCCGCGCCATGAAATGCAGAGACCTGCAAAGCCGTAAAGACTCAGCCCTGCCTGCCAGCTCACGCCTTGGTTGCTGTTCTCCAGCCGCACTGGCCTAACTCTCCTCCCGTACGTCTCTCTCCACACAGCCCTTTCCTGGTTCTGTTCAAAAGTCGGTGATCCAGACACCATCTATCCCAACCTCCCTCCCTAAATTCCCGCCCTGGAACCAGAGAGAGGACAGTGGGTAGGGCGATTGTCTTGTGTGCAGCCGACCCTAGTTTGATCCCCAACATCTCAGGTAGACCCCTGAGCACAGTCAGGAGTGACCCCTGAATGCCAAGCCAGGTGTGGCCCACAAACATTTAAAATTAATATTGTCCATGTCCCTCCACAGTCTTTTATTCTCCTCCTTCTAAGTACCACTCATCATGACTCCAGATGGTAGGTAATGTATCTTTTTTTTCCTCTCAATTAAAATATTAGTTCCCCAGAACGATATAGAAATAAATAGGATGCTTGTCTTGCACACAACCAAACAGATTAGATCCCTGGCATCCCATATGGTCCCACAGCACCGCCAGGAGTAACCATGAGCATCACTGGGTGTGGCCCCAAAACAAAAGATGTTGGTTCCATGTAAGCAGGAACATTCACTGCTCTATCCCCATCGTTGGAAACACATTCAATAATTTTGTGTGTGTGTGCTTTTTGGGTCACACCTGGCAATGCTCAGGGGTTATTTCTGCCTCTGCACTCAGGAATTACCTCTGGTGGTGCTCAGGGGACCATATGGGATGCTGAGGATCGAACCTGAGTCAGCTTCGTGCAAGGCAAACGCCCTACCCACTATACTATTGCTCCAGCCCCTCAATAAATACTCGTTGATGAAATAGGATTGAGGCATTTGAGAGCTGGATCGTTGTGGCTGCTGTGCTGTGTTGCCTCGTTGTGCAAAAGAGGAGAACGTGGAAACGCAGAGATAACATGGCCTGGCCAGAGTCAGAGGCAGTGAGAGGGCGCTCGCTAGAACCCAGATCTGCAAACACCAAGGCGGGGCTTGCCACACCAGCAAACTAGCCCATGACCTTCTTTTTGTGTCATTCACAAGCCAAGAGTGGCTTCTGTGTTTCTCAAATGACTTAGGGAGATCAAAAGAATACTGTTTTTTTTGTTTGTTTTTTTTTTTTTTTTTGCTTTTTGGGTCACACCCGGCAATGCACAGGGTTTTCTCCTGGCTCTGTGCTCAGGAATTATCCCTGGCGGTGCTCAGGGGACCATATGGGATGCTGGGAATCGAACCCGGGTCGGCCGCGTGCAAGGCAAACGCCCTACCCGCTGTGCTATTGCTCCAGCCCCAAGAATACTGTTTTTGATACGTGTGAATTACATGCATTTCAAGTGTTGGTGTCCATAAATAAACATTTACTGGATAGCAGCCATGCCTGTCCATTTACATACCCTTGAATGCTGTTCTTCCTACTGCAGAATAGTACAGCTGAGTAATTCAGCAGATCCAATGGCCCAGAGAGCTGACGAAATCCACCCTCTCACCTTCTCCAGGCTGTGCACCTGCTGTCCATGACATCCCATGAGTGACATCCCATGTCTTTTCATCTTTGGTGGGTCCAGAGTTCTGGTGTTAGGAGCAGAGTTGAAAAGCAGCGGGGGCTGGACAGGCAGAATAGGGCTTTAGGAGTTTGCCAAGCACAGGTCTGTCCCCCCACACCCCCACCCTGCTTTGAATCCCTGGCACTACATATGCCTCCCCCATGCACCACCAGGGGTCACATCTGAGCACAGAGCCAGGAGTAGTCCCAGCACCCCCCCCCCCGCACTCCCCCCCAAAAAATAACTGAGAAGCAGCGGAAAGAGGAAGGAGGAGGAAATGACGAACAGTGAGTGTTGTGGTCCCTCTTCAAACCTCTACACACGTCTCACGCAGATCCCATGCATGTTGTGTTCCTTCATACAGGTGAGGTTGCCCTGAGAGTCCGGCAATCAACTAGGCCTCAGGTGCACTTCCAGCCCCAGCAGTGCCAGCCAGTCGGGCAAGACTCGATTCCAATGACAAAAAGTTCCTCACTCCCAACAGAGGGAAAAGTATCGGCACATGGAACAGAACAGTCTTAAATGTTCAAATGAATGATCACTTGCATCACTTGTCATCCCATTGCTCATCGATTTGCTCGAGCGGACGCCAGTAACGTCTTCGTTTGTCCCTGTTGCGTGCTAGTGTAGCTCAATGGTGTCTGCTCTCTCCAGGAACACGAAGAGCATCAAACCGTTCGTTCAGGGTCTTGACGAAGAAGTCTGACCATCTATCTCGTAGGTGGGCAGCGAGGCGTTCTCTTGATGTCCTGTGGAATCCAGTCGGTAATGGCTCTAGTCCAGCAGTCATCTCCAAAGTGCATTACGTGTCCGGCCCATCTGATTTTCTGAAAATCAGAAAAATGAATGATCTGATCAGGAATCGCTCACGATTTGTTTGGGGATTTGACAGTGCTCAGTGCTTCTGGCAGGGCTCAGGGGATTATATGCAGCATACTGGAGTCAAACCTGGGTCAGCGGTGTGCAGGGCAAACCTTGAGCCTCTATATCATCTGTCTGACCCAGGAATTGAGATTGTGTTTTCCTTTGGACTAGCTAGTTTCGTTCTCAGGCAAGCTTTTCTAGAAGTATCCAAAGGTGGGGGAGGGTGAATTCTAGATTTAACAAAAAAAGATCAGAGAGATAGTACAGGGGGTAAGACTCATGCTTTGCACATGGCTGAGCCCAGGTACAATCCCTAGTACCCCACATGTTTTCCTAAGCCCCGCCAGGAGTCACCCCAGAGCACAGAGCCAGAAATAAGCCCTGAACATCTCCAGGTGTAGACCCAAAACAAATCTTTTCTAAAATCTGCCATAATTTATCTTTGGACTTAAGATCGTATCTTCCTTCCTCTGCGGTCAGCATTACTTGGCTCAGATCACTGCTTCTACAAAATGACATCGTTGGGAATGTACTCTGTGAGCTTTCCAAACTAGAGGTAAAATTTTAGTTGTAGGGGCAGGAGTGATAGAGCACAGCAGGTAGGGCATTTGCCTTGCATGTGGCCAACCCGGGTTCAATTTCAGCATCCCATATGGACCCCTGAGCACCGCCAGGAGTAATTCCTGAGTGCGGAGCCAGGAGTGACCCCTGTGCATCGCCAGGTGTGACCCAAAAAGCAAAAAAAAAAAAAAATTTTTTTTAATTGTAGATTTAGGGGCTAAAAAGTACAGAGGTTCACTTGTCACACAGCCAGTCCTGGTTCAATCCCCAGGCCCCCCACTTAGTGTCCCAAGAGTGTCCCCCTGAGCACAGAGTCTGGAGTAAGCCCTGACCCGAGCTGGGTAATATGAGCCCGCTCTCCCTCACAAAACAACGGTGCTTCCAGCTACCTCTCCACACCAGGCGAACTAGGAGTCA